CACCAGAGTTCCTATGCATATGAGGTGACTAAAAATACTATGACTGGAGTTAGGTGCAAGTTCGTCTTCAAAGTGATGTCTTTGCTCTTCAAAACTTTGAAGAGGTCTTTTGCAGCAAATTTGCCCAGTGCAATATGACTTCCGATTTCTTAACTCTTGCTTCAATGGGTGTTGATTGTGGATCCGAATAAAATGAAATCTTGACAACTTCAGGCTTTTCTCTGTTTATTCTGGTGTTGCTTATTGGTACAGTTGTGAGGATTTTTGTTTTCTTTATATTGTGGTGTAATCCGTACTGAAGACTGTAGCTTTTGATCTTCATCAGTAAGTGCTTCAAGTCATCTTCACTTTCAACAAGCAAGGTGTGTCATCTGCATGTCACAGGTTGTTAATGAGTCTTTCTGTAATCCTCATGCCTCATACTTCTTTGTATAGTCCAGCTTCTGAGATTGTTTGCTCAGCCTACTGATTGAAGAACACTCTGATATCCCTGTTCAGTTTGGTAGTTCACAAAACAGTGGAGCACTCTCACTCATGCCTGTTGGGTCTACACCATAGCCTGTGGTTTCTCAGTGAGTTCGTGTTATGTCAGACATAGAGAAAAATCTCTGAGAGATAGGGTCACATTAGAAACCTGCTTGGTGGCACTAGCAATATTCTTTATGCTTGAGAGTTATCTACAAATTACTAGTTTTTTTCAGGTCATCATAAATCAAACACATAGGAGTTTCTGGGCTTTGTTAAGTTTCTTTAAGTCTTCAGTTACACCAGAGTCCTGATTCTCCAGAATTTTTTTCAGGGTTCAAATGGGATATATGGTGCTCATTGGCTTCACAGATGTCTGCACCTTATGGGAAATTAGTGGTAGTGGAATCCTCGTCTGGACTGGGCTGAGACATAGGTGGGACCTGATTCCTGTAGGTGGCCTCACTCGTGAAATGCAGAGTTGTATAAACTGTCCTTATTGTGCTTCAATGGTTATTTTTGTCTGTATCCTCTTCTCACTCAGAGCTCTTGGAGGGCTACAGAAAGGGTGGCTACCCAAAGCTTTGGGGACAGATTCTGTTAAAACCGTGGCAGAGATACTAGCTTAGAGCAGTCTCCATTGTTTGCTGTGTTCGGTTCAGTTCAGTTACTTGAGACATAGTATGTTGTATACCAACACTGTCATTTTGAAATGTATCAGAATGCATAAAAATACTGCCCACAATACCAGTGATTGAATCTCAGGACATTAATGAAGTATGAGGTGAAAACAGGAGTCTCATGAGAGACACTACGATTTAAAGCCATCAGCTGGTTTGTGTGGTGATGGAACCAAGACCTCCTGATGCCAGACCAAGACTGCGTTTCATTAGAGCTCACCTCATCCCACAGTCATCACTGTACTCATAGGACACAGTGTGAAAGAGTGGTCATGGATCTGACAGAGGTCACCTCCTCCACAGTCCTTGCTGCACTCACCGGACACAGTGTGGAAGGTCGTCATGGATCTGACTCCGCTCACCTCTTCCACACTCCTTGCTGTGCTCACAGGACACAGTGTGGAAAGTTGTCACGGATCTGACAGAGCTCACCTTCTCCAAACATGTATTGATGGCTTAAGCCAGTGTACTGGCCCTGTGGAATGCTGGGTAGATAGCCAAGGATGTGTTAGCTTGGAGTGTATAAGCCTGTGTGTGATCTTGGATGTATGGGGGGTTGATCCCACTGATGTTTGCAAATGATGTAATGGTTCTGCCTGAGGATTTGCTGGACTCTTAACTATTTCCTCCATGAGAGTTTTTCTGCGTGTGCTCATTTTCCTCTTGTGATCTCTGATGTGTCTGAGAAGGAGCACAGGGAAGGGTTGCGGGTGGGTGGGTAGAGTTCATCAGCCCTTGGAGTCCTGGTAGGACTGGGAAGGAGGTAAAGCAGGCCAAGCAAAGGGACTAGAGATAACAGACTGCATCTGGCCGCCAACTTGAAGAGAGAGTGGAGATAACATACAGGTGATAACATGTGACACGGCCAGCAACTCTAAAAGGAAATGGAGATAACAGAGTGGTGGCAACACAGAACATGACCGCCACCTCAAAGAGAGAATGGAGATTATGGAGTGGTGATGAGGCTGGACACGGCCGCCAGCTCGAAGAGACAGCAGAGGTAACAGCAACAATGATGCTGGACGTGGCCGCCAGCTCGAAGAGGCAGCAGAGATTACAGCAGTGGTGAGGCTGGCCACGGCCACCACCTTGAAGAGGCAGCAGGGACAACGGAGCGGTGTTGATGCTGGACGTGGCTGCCACCATGAAGAGAGTGGAGATTATGAATTGGTGGTGATGTGGAACATTCCGCCACCTAGAAGAGGGAGTGGAGATAACATGCAGATGACAGTGTGGGATGCGGCTACCAGCTTGAGGAATGGGTCACTGGGACACAGAACAGGCGTTCAGAGGTGCACCACTATGGAAAGGAAATGATGTCTACACCTTCTATGAAGCTGTTTATGATGGAGAGTTTGACGGGTGCAAGTTCTCACACCCACAGTGGTCAGGCACAGGGAGTCTGAGTAGGGCTTTCTGTAGAGGTGAGTGCTGGGGGCCCTGTGCCGGGATGGGGGACACAAATGAGTGCCTGCCATGGGCCTGCTGAGCATGTCGAGTGTGGATGGTAGGGCTCAGCTTCTTGGTGAGCATCTCGGGAGCTGGAGTCCTCAGCGGCATCCCTGCCTGTGTGCAGTCTGGCCTCTGAAAGCTAGGTGGGCTGCAGGTTCACTGCAGACGACGGGAGCCTTGCATTCATCATTGCACTTCAGGGGCGAGTCCTAAGACACAGCCTCACTGGGTGTGGCAAGAGGTAGCGGCAAGCATGTTGTCTCACTTGTACAGAACTGGTTTTGTTCCCCCAGGAAACAGATAGAAAGGACCACCTGAAGAGTCTTTACAGAAGTACCTAGGAATTTCATTGGAATCTGATTTCAACTACATGCATGCATTTTTTTTTTGTTGTTGTTATTGTTGTTATGTACCGTGGAGTTGGATCCGACTCATAGCAAACGCTCCTTGGGTTTCTGAGGCAGTATCACTACGGAAGTAGATTGCCCAACCTTCCTTCCAAGGAGTGGATGGTAGGTTTGAACCGCCAGCCTCCTGGTTAGCATTCAAGTGCCTTAGGCACTATGCTACCAGAGTTCCTATTAGCTATGTTTAAAATTACATCACTTTCCTTTTTGTTGTGTTTGGTTTGTGTATAACTTCCCTAATAAAACATTTAAAGTAATGTTCTCCCAGTTGTATGTTATACAAGTCATTTTCGTGGTCGGAGTTGAGTTTTTGAAAACTTGTAGGTGCTTTACTTAGAAACCCTCCCACTGTGCTCAAGGACATGGCTCATCAGATGTTGTTGGAAGTAGACCGTTACCATGGAGTGACACCTTAGTGCCACCTGTTTGTGTGGCACTGTAATGAGATGGTGCCCATAGCAGGTGGGTCCCCCCTTAGGAATCTGCTCAGAGGGGAGCGTCTGATGAGCGTGGTGACGACTGGGGGGTGCCACTCTTTCTGTTTGTCTCTTGCTGTTTTGCAGAATCGTAGTGTTAGTTTTCTGCTCACGTGGGTGACTCCTCACAGCTCCTACTAGTTCCCAGCACAGTGGACTCTCCACAAATATTGACTGTGAGACACCAGCCAGTGGCGTGGTTAGCATCCGTCATGAGTCAGGGTCAGCTGTGTGACCAGAGGTGGTGCCCATGGGTGGTACTGGGCAGTTGAGAAGACAAGGGTTTACAGGAAAGGAGTGGAATGCAACCTGGACTTTTAAAAGAAGGATGGGAAAACAGGGTCTGTGGACAGAGTCTAGTGATGGTGGCTGGTGAGACATTAACACACAGCTGAGCAGGGAGGAGGCGAGGCCAGGGACACGTGCAGGAGGAGGACCCAGCGTGGGGAACAGCTGAGCTGGCCGTGGTGCTGAGGCAGCAGCTCCCTCTCCCACCTCCAGAGCGGTTTGCACCTGCATTTGTCCTAAATTGTAGAGCTAGCCTGAGGATCAAGTCACATTTCTTACCTGTTCAGCCAGAAGGCAGTCTGTGGGAATGCCTGGGACAGCACTGGGATTGCAGAGCAGTGCTCATGTTAGAAGGACTCCTGCCCTGAGTCATCGTGGTGCCAGTGTCAGGTTCTAAGTGCTGTGTTCAGTCTTGAGTGCCCTCAACTTTGGGCAGTTACGGCTGCACTGTCTTAGCAGGTGTTCCCACAGGGAGCAGGGTTAAAACCCTCCTATCACCTGGTGCTGGAGTTAGGAGGAGCAGTTACAGTACAGCTGTTCCTTGTGTTGAAGGGGGACCTACGTTGCAATAGTTGTATGTGTTCTCATAGGTTGTCTTCCAACAGTCAGTTCCTAGCCTGATTAAACCACATTGAGTTGCAACACTGCCATCTGTACTTTAGCTCTTGGGAGCTGTCACTTTGGGGTGAAGCGTACACCCTCTGAAATTCACTTTTTCAGTAGTGTTGACCATGAGTCGTTCCTGTTTTTCTTGTTTTTCAGGTCTTATCCAGCCCATTCCAAGAAACCAGTTTTTTCAGAGCTATTTTAATAACAATTTTGTAAATGAAGCAGATAGACCATACAAGTGTTTTTACTGCCATCGAGCATATAAGAAATCATGCCACCTTAAACAGCACATCAGGTAAGGTGACAGAGGCCCGAGGACTAGGTGGCACATTCGGTGCCGTAGCACTGTGGTGCCTTCCAGACGTGCAGGGCGCAGTGTTAGCTCTCGGTGTTCAGAGTGTCACATGTGACTCTGCCACGTGTATTGGTCGTGGATCTTTTCATTCCTAGTGTCTTCCAGGGGAAGGGTCACCTGGAAATGGTGCTGGAACTCAGCACTGGTGAGTCCAGGAGATGGCAAACAAGTGTTTGGCTTATTTCATTAGAATGATGTCCTTTAATGGTTTTGAAAGTGATGAATCACGACTTAGACTAATGTCTGCAGCTGTAGAAACACCCCGCAGAGATGAGAGACTGGAGGGTGGCAGCAGTGTGATGTCGGGCCCATTGTGCAGCTCCCAAGATTTGGATTCTGCTCTTGCCTCCATGCTGTGCTCACTGGGTGACTTCCAGCAAGTCTTAACCTGCTGGCCCCTGCCCTCTCATCTGTAAGGTGGGGCAAACGGCATCTTTGCTGCTTCCCTTGAAAACAGCATAGTATTCCATGGAATACCAGCTGAGAATAGGTGCTATGTAGCGGGCACTGTGGACATGTGAGGAGCACCTGCATGTTCGGTTAAACCTCTGCTCCTTGCAGGTCGCACACAGGTGAGAAGCCTTTCACCTGTTCGCAGTGTGGCCGGGGCTTCGTGTCCGCGGGAGTGCTGAAGGCTCACGTGCGCACCCACACGGGGCTGAAGTCTTTCAAGTGTCTGCTGTGCAACGGCGCCTTCACCACAGGCGGCAGCCTGCGCCGGCACATGGGCATCCACAACAGCTTGCGCCCCTACATGTGCCCCTACTGCCAGAAGACGTTCAAGACCTCGCTCAACTGCAAGAAGCACATGAAGACCCACAGGTGCGCACGGGCACCACCGGAGGGCCAGCTGCCTCCGCGCCGCATGCTGTCTAGCTTGGGCGTGCGTGGGCTAAACACGTTTATGGAGCAGAGCCCACGGTCAAGGACCCTGGGGCTGCAAACAAGGTCGGCGGTCCAAATGCACCAGCCTCTCAGCTGGAGAAAGAGGAGGCATTGTGCTTCCATAAAGACTGACAGCCTTGGAGACCCTAAGGAACAGTTCTACTCTGTCCTCTGGGGCACTGTGAGTCGGAATCAACTTGATAGTAGTGGGTGTGGTTTGGGCTTTGCTTCTGTGAAGAAGACTCTGTGGGGCAGTTCCACTCTGTCCTCTTGGGGCACAGAGGGTCAGAATCCACTCTACAGCAGTGGGTGTGGTTTGGGCTTTGCTTGGGTGAACATTTACAGCCTTGGAGACCCTGTGGGCAGTTCTACCCTGTCCTCTAGGGGAACTGTGAGTCAGAATCAACTCCACAGAAGTGGGTGTGGTTTGAGCTTTGATCCCATAAAGATTGACAGTTTGGCAACCCTCTGGGCCATTTTACTCTGTGCTCTAGGGGCACTGTGAGTCAGAATAGACTCACTAGCAGTGGGTTTGATTATTATTATTATTTTTTTACACCCAGCTGTGTCTGCCAGGATATTAGCACAAAATGAAACTTCACGTACTGGAATAAGTGAACTCTGATCATTAAATCTTTTTGTCCCCCTAGTATTTATTTGGATGCGTAGTAGGTACACTGGACAGAATAACAACTTTGGTTTTTGCATAGTCGACTCCTTAGTTGGCAGGTCTCATTGCTTCTGGAGGCCATCCAGGGAATGTGGTGTTCATGGGGCAAGGGGGTGTGCCCCCATCCCACTGAGGGCTATGCATGCTAAAGTGAGGGGACCCGGGCCCTGGACTTGTGCAGTGTCATTTAAACACTTAAATCCCGTTTTCTCTGTTAGGAAGCCAGTCTTCTCAGCACGCTCTCATGGCAGTGTTGGGAGGGAAGACTTCACGCCCTGGTTTATGGCAGTGGCTGATTGTTGGGAGTGCTTAGCTGTTTCCGTGGTCCCTGTGGTCCCTGGGGTATCACGGCAGCCCTTGGCTGTTGGGATTCCACGGAGGACTGCATGCCTACCATTATTTTAGGCATGCACTGTCTGGTTGCATGTCTGTGATACTGCAGATCTAGGACCTCTTTCTTTGGAATCTGCCTGCAAGGAGGGGAGTAGACCCAGTTGTCCCTCCCTTTGTTGGAATTGTTGGGAATTCCCAGAATGCCTGAGAAATAGGTGTCAAAGGTTACTGCAATAAGCCCCAGTCAACAAAACAGAGGAGCCATAGTACATGAGAGTTGGTCACTGGGCAAGGCACACCTGCCATCACAGTGAACGATCGGGAGGACAGTATGCAGGCATGACTGAGCTTCTGCCCCCAGACCAAACCAGACTCCTGCCTTTGAGTTGATTCTGATTCACAGTGACCCCCACCGGGTTTCTAAGGCTGTGAATCTTTATGGACTCAGACTATTCTATCTTTCTTCCAGGGAGTGGCTGGTAGTTCGAACCACCAGCCTATTGGTAAGCAGCCAGATGACTTAACCACTGCACCACCAGAACTGCTTTGAGCTTCTGTACAGGAATGATGATAATAAACATGCAAACCTGTGAGAGCTGGAACTAACGGGGTGGCCTTGTTCCTCTGGGTCTTGCAAGTTCACCTTTGACAGGGTGCAGTCCTAACCACTTTTCTATCACTTGCATTAGTGGAAAATGTTTGTATTCTCGTTCTCTGGCAGGTTTCCACCTTACACAGGTTCCGGCTCTTGCAGATTTTACTGTACTTTGTGTTGTTTCTTGGTTCTGGCTCTCCCAGGTTTTACCATATTTTGTGTTGCATCTTGGTTCCGGTTCTCGCAGGTTTTACCATATTTTGTGTGACAGCTTGGTTCCAGCTCTTGCAGGTTCAACTGTATTTTATAGATAGTTTTGTTTAATCCTTCTCAATGGTGGTTGTTGAGAATGGACTGCTTTTTGATAGCAGAAAATGAAGAGGAAGCATTTTGTTTGGAATTAGGAAAGAAATTCTGAGGAGACTTGAACACGGGATGGAATGTGTGTGGCTCTCAGCACGGAGACCTGTATCTCAGGCCATTCATTGTTTTAGGGAGCACACACGCTGCCCAGCCTGTTGCTCAGATACTTGCTGGAGGAATTTGTTAAAGTTTTGTTTTATTCACTGCGTGTATTGTTCGCTTTTCTTCTAGGCCTTGGTGAGTGTACACTGGATGTGTTTTTGTATGTTGTTGTTGTTGTTGTGTGCCATTGAGTCAGACCCGACCCATAGCGACCCCTCCTTGGGTTTCCAAGGCAGTATCACTATGGAAGTAGATTGCCCCGTCTTCCTTCCGGGGAGTGTGTATAGCATAATGTTATTGCAGGAAATCAGAATGGCCCTGTGGCTTGTACTGTATGTTTGTAACGTGGTTGACCACTGGCCACATACAATGTCTATGGCCCTGGACTGAGGGCTAGTGGGCCATGAGCCCTGGGTCCCCTGTGTCCACTTTGGGTTATCCCACATAAACCCACCTGCCAACACGCTGCCTCGTGTTGCGCACTTCTTTTTTGGAACACCTTAGCTCACTGCAGAATTTGACATGGGAGCATCTTTCTTCCTTTTGAATAGCCTGCTGTGTGCTGTCCTCTCCTGCTCTGGGTCCTGCCCATCACTGGGAGAGCACGGAAAAGCAGGCCAGCCTTTGAGTGTGGTTAGTTTTCACAGCATTGCCTTCGTGACTGTGAAATGAGGTGGTGGAAAGGGAAAGCGGGTGCTTTACAGGACGTGTGTGGGGAGCAGTGGCAGCGCCTGACCCCCAAGTGTTGTTGCTTCGAAGGTACGAGCTAGCCCAGCAGCTGCAGCAGCGCCAGCAGGCTGCCTCCGTCGATGACAGCACCGTGGACCAGCAGGGCGTGCACGTGTCCACCCAGGTGCAGGTGGAGATCGGGAGCGACGCGTTGCCGCCGCCGGCTGAGGCGCTTGCCCCGAACCCCGAGGCCATCCTGGAGCTGGGTCCGCAGCACGTCGTGGGCACGGAAGAGGCTGCGCTCGGCCAGCCACTGGCAGACCAGCCTCTGGAAGCGGACGGAGGTACACCTTGTCAGGGTCTTTCCCTTTGAGAAGCGTTCCCGTAGCCTTATGCAGTCTTCACACTCGCTCTCACCCATGTGGATGTCTCCCATCTCTGACTTTGTAAGTCACTGTTTGTGCTATGCATGGAGGTGTGTGTGTGATACTGTGCACTGTATGTAATCCCGTGTTACTCCCACTCCTCACTCATCGACACGGGGAGGTTCCAAAAACCAGGGCTTTGTGTGAAAATTGGCAATATGTGAAAATGAAGATGACTACATCAGATCACAAATGGAAGATGACTGCATCATTACATGACTGCCAAACCACACCAGTATATTATTGCCAAGTCACCAATATGTAACCGCGAAATCACACCCTGACATGACTGCCAAATTACATCATTACCTAACTGCCAAATTATACCATTAAATAATCGCCACATTATACCATTACATAACTGCCAAAGCACTGAGAATCTTGGTCCGGCCAGGTAGACACAGCCTACCCATAACAGTTGGTGTTACTCTTGCCCAGCATGTTGGTGTTTGTTATTGCCAGACGTGTATCATAAATGTGCGGAATAGTCAAGTTAGTGGGGTTTTTACTATTGTCCTAATTGCAAACGTCGGATAAGGAGATAGTGAGGAGTGGAGGCACTCTTTAGTAGTGCTTTTACTCTGCAATGTTGTTTGCCTTTTGTGGGCAAAGACTGCTTTTTTCTTTGAAACACAAAGTAATCCAACTTCTTGGTAGGAAAATTTGAATGTGTTTGAAGTCTTAGGGCTGCAGCAAACACTGCTGTCCATGCTTTGATGCAGGGCCTACTGTTTCTGTGCAAGTATGCAGGCATGGGCCTGTGTATGAGTGTATGTGTGTGTGTGTAGCCACGGGCCTGTGTGAGTGTAGAGACATGGGCCTGTGCGTGCTTGCAGGCAGGAACCTGTGTGTGTGCATGTGCGTGTGTGCAGGAAGGAACCTGCGTGTGTGCATGTGTGCAGGCGTGGGCCTGTGTGTGTATGTGTGTGTTTGTGTAGCTATGGGCCTGTGTGAGTGTACAGACATGGACCTGTGTGTATGTTGTTTGTGTATGTGTGTGGGCACAGGTCTGTGTGAATGTGTGGGCACGGGCCTATGTGTATGTGCAGGAATGGGCCTGTGTGAATGTGTGTGTGGGCATGGGCCTGTGTGTGTGGACACAGGCCTGTGTGTGTGTTTTGTGTGTGTGTGCATGCAGACACGGGCCTGTGTGTGTGTGTGTGTGTGTGTATAGAATCAGGGATAGGGTCTTTCTAGCCGTCCCCTTTTGTCCCCTTTTGTTACAGAAGGCTGTGTTACATTAGAGCGGCTTTCCTGCCAGTTGGTACACGTCTGTGTGGCACTCTGTCACACTCAGAGCAGCCTCCCGTTGCCGGCCAGCAGTCTGCAGCAGGGCCGGCAGGGCTAGGCTCCGGGTCTGGAATGTGAAGGGACGGCTTGCTTCCTTCATCAGTGAAGTCTTCCTGTGAAAACCGTGCAGCTGAGCCCTGGGCTGTGTGCTAGGAACACCGATGGCTTATAGCCACACAGTCTTGGTCTTGTGCAGGCCTGCTGTGGGCAGTTTGCTGACAACTTCCTGCTGTGTAATAGGTGTCCCAACACTTACTCAGCTGGTCAGTGCAAGGGTTGCCTCTTAACCCGTGTTCCCCAGAGCAGTCTCAGTAGTCAGTGAGAGCGCTGACTGTTAGAGGAGTGTGGAATCTTTAGGATAAACTGCTGGGACTTTCAGTGCTGCTCTGGAAATCAACAAGAAAGCTTCGAGCACATGACACGTGCAGTCAGTCCTCAGTACTCACTGATCGCGTGTTTGTGGAGCTGTCCGCCCACTAAAGTTGGTTCCCCCAGAACCTCTGTCTGTGGTTTGCTTTGCAGTCACTCGTGGGGGTGTGTGGGTCCAGAAGGGTGGTGTGGCCCTGGCTGGCTCTGTTCTCGGGGGCTCACAGATGTCACACCCCCTGTCTGTAAAGCGTGTCCCCATGGTGTCCTCTCACAGACCTGGGCTCACTCCCACACTAACGAGCCTCTCCCTCTCTCTCTGGTCTTGCCTTCAGATAGGTTTGTCCCTCAGCATCCTTTGCCGGGGAGCGTGGACCAGTTTGAGCAGCAGACTCCTGCATCGCAGGCCTTTGAGCCGGCAGCCTTGTCACAAGGTCCGTGGGGAGGATGGCTTGGGCCCCAGCTGCTTCCTGGAGGCCTTACCGCAGCTGGCGGTTTCAAACCAGCCAGCTTGTTGCGTGTGCTGTGTGCCTTTTCTGTCGACACCCACTCTTTTGTCGTCTGCTCAGATTTTCTGGCATGGGATGTGAATAGCCATTTTTTGGCCAAGAAAACATGGTTGGGTACACCTTTGGATCTGGGGTACCTGGGAGCTTCTGGCTGCCCTGGAAGCTATGCGGTGAGGGTGTATTTAGCACATGCCCCACTGCCTGGGAACAAATGACTCGAGAGCCTGCGGGTGGAGGCGGGCACATTGGTACCTTTAGACATTTGTACTTAAGAAAACCCGTTTTTGTTTGCTTTTTTGTTTCTCTTTAGCGTTTTTGGTGGCACTCATTCTTTGTCACTTTCCAGGTTTTGCAGTAACTGACACATACAATCAGCAGACTCAGTTTCCTCCTGTCCAACAATTACAAGACTCCAGCACCCTGGAATCACAGGCCCTTTCCAGCAGTTTCCACCAGCAGAACCTACTGCAGGTCCCCAGCTCAGACCCCATCAACGTGGTGAGCGTTAGACAGAGGGCCTGCTGTTTGATGCTTCACTGGGGTCGCCCCAGTGAACAGAGAGGACAGGTACCGCCATCCAACTAAAAACACTCAGCAGAGGCGGCCATGTTTCTCCTTAAATCTTTTCCTCGTGGTTGTTGAACTTGAGATTTCATTATCTCAGTGTGGCTTTCCTGGCTTGGTTGAAAGCCAAGGGCGGTAGTGTAGTGTTAGTAACACAGCCTGAAGTGTGTTTTAAGTCTAAGCACAAAAGCTTAACCATTTTAAGTGTGGAATCTTCAGAGATGTAGTTGGAATGAGAATGTAGTGAGTGTTAACATGCTGTAAGTAAATGTTAAACGTGTTGTCAACAATTTCACTCCACAGTCAAGGTGGAGACTAAGTTTTCATTTGGTTTCTGCTTTTCCATTTTTGAAATTTTTTATTTTCATTTTTTGTAAATTTCTCATAGTATGAGAATGACTGGCTAGCTAGCCACTGCCTGTTGTTAGAAGCTTCTGCTAGTAGCTAGGTCAGAGTGGTGGTCCTGGGTCCTCCGTGGAAGCTCCCAGCGTTGCCACAGCCCAGGAACCCCGTGTCCATGGGTGGCAGCGATGGAGAACGTGGCTCTGGGGAGTATGCTGCTCGTAGCATGCCCTCAGCGCCAGAGCCCCTGGGCAAAGAGCTGGTGACGGTGGCGTGGCTCTGCAGAGCCTGTCCCAGGTCCCGTGGATCACCGAGTGTGGTTATGGGCGAGCAGACACTGGACACAGGCATGGCATCGGGGGCCCCATGTGCCCTCTCGCCCTGTGGGACCCCGGGCGCACCGTTGGCCGACTGCCCTGTTGGAAACAGGGGTACCAGCCAGACTGGTATTCAGTGCTTGCTGCGGCAGTGGGCCTGTGCCTGTGCGGTGCCTGGAAGGTTGGGGTGAGTGGGAGTGCTCCCTCTGAGCACCGTGCCCGCCCTGGGGGCACGTCCCATCCACTGGTGGTGATGAGGGAGGAGATGTCACGTGCGATGGCAGAGCTGTCTGAGCAGAGCCCTTCTGGCCACTGCTGGAGCGCTGTCACCCAGTCCTTACTGCAGACTAGACTAGAAATTCGAGCTGCTGCACTCTAGCACCAGTGCTGGTGGGAACAGGCCCTGTTCAGGTTCCCCCACTGCCCCCTTCACCCTCAGACCTCAGTCCCAGGTCCTTGTGTGTGTGTTGGTGTTGCTGGTGGCATCAGGCTGGCTGCTTTATCTGACCCAAGCCCTTTGACCCAGGAGCCAGCCAGAGAGGAGTTGGACCTGCCCACCTCACAGCCTCAGTTTCTGGAGGACAGCGGGGACCACAGCCGGCGCTCCTACAGGTGGGGGAATGGTGCCGGGCAGGAAGGGGTGCAGTGTGGGGCAGGGAGGGGCATGGCGGGGCGCAGGGGGTTGGCAGGGACAGCCAATGCTCCTACAGGTGAGGGCGTATGGGGGTTGGGTAGGGGGGCATGGTGGGGGCAGCCGATGCTCCCACAGGTG